ACCAGCGCTCAACGCTGCCACCAGGGAGCCCCGGCTTTCTCAGGCTTTTATTGAGCTTTCTCATGTAGTGTGGCAAACAGGTACATGGCAGGCAGAGGTTCCCTGGGGCCAGGAGGCCAGAAGGCCTCCAAGCTCCCGGCAAGTCTGGGCTTCTCTGACTTCCTTTCTACTCTTCTCTCTCCTGCCTCTTCTCCTGCTTTTCTGCTTCTGCTTCTCTTGGCGACTCTCTCAATACTCCTCCCATGGCCCACAGAAGTAAATAAGATAGTTTGCAATAATGTAACTCTATAGGTGCCCCCTCAAGCAGGGGCAATCCTAATTGTGGGAGGGCAGAAAAGCCTGAAAAACCATTTACCCTGCAGTGCAGGCAGACCTTTCCTGTCTCTCCTCCTACTCCCCTCAGCAATGTTTCCAGTCCATCTGCCTGTTCTGCTCCCTGCTCTTGTTCTCTCTGGTGAATCCTTTCACCCTTCCCCCCGGCTGGGATGTACCCCAGTTCTTGTAAAATAAATAAATCTTAAAAAAATTAACACAGGCATGAAGCATTATAAATGTAAAGGATGTAAGAAATCATTCTGTCACAAGTCAGGCCTGAGTGTTCATCAGACAACTCATACACCAGAAAAACCCTATGAAAGTCCAAAGTGTAAGAAAACGTTCTACCGGAAATCACTCCTCTTTGTACATCAGGGAAGTCACACTGGAAAGGAACTCTATGATAGTCAAGAGTGTAGGAAAACTTTCTCCTGGAAATCAACCCTCATGGAACATGAGAAGCGCTATGAATGTCTAAAGTGTAAGAAAACATTGTACAGGAAATCACACCTCATTGTACATCAGAAACTCACACTGGAGCCAAACCCTATGAATGTCGAGAGTGTAGAAAATATTCAATATGATGGTTGAGGTATAATAATTTTTGTGTACTTATTATCAGTCACACTTGGGATATTATGAAGTGGGGATGAATGTAACACAGCTCTAATTCACTCCATTCTCTGGCTTTCTCCCCTTGTGTGTGTGAAGTCATGCGTTCGCTTTTTTGCTGCCTCAAACATCTGAGAGATTCTCCTAGTAGATGGATTTGTTCATGTCTATCTTGCAGGTAAATTTAGGACAGTAATGTGCCATGTATCAAGAACATCTGAATGGAGGTGCTGCTTCTAGTTGACCCAAAACATTGATTTAAATCACCAAGACGAGGGCCTCCCGGATGGTGCAGCGGATGAGCGCTGGGTTGCGAAGCAGCCCGCGGCCTCTGCGGCGCCGGTTCCATCCCCGGCTGCTCCCCGGCCACTGGAGGAGGGTCCCATATGGCGCGCAGACCTCTCCTGCCGCCCGCTGCTCCCCTCAGCAGTGTACTTTGGTCCTTCTGCCTGCTCTGCTCCCCGCTCTGGCTCTGGTGAATTCTCTCACCTTCCCGCGCTTCTGACTGTACCCAGTGCTTGTAAATAAATAAATAAATAAATAAATAAATAAATATTAAAAAAAAAAATAAATCACCACGACGAGTATGGCCTTCATCGTTGGCATAAAAGTCAGACATAGGAACATGCTGGAGTTCAAATCATTTCATCAATTTCTCCTTATGGAAATATGCTGACAGCTGATTAAAATCCTGGTGTATCTTCATGGTAGTAATAGGGATCAGGACTATTATTTAACATTTCCAAAAGAAATCTTCACAGGCATATGATGAAAGAACAGGTGACTTTCCAAAAACAGAGCATAGAATTGTGTGTGTGCACATTAGCTAAGTATTGAGCCTCTGTGTTGACCACCAACAATGGGATTCAGGAATCAGAAGAACAAGAATGCTTCTTAAATGCCTGCAACTTGATTTTGACCAAAGAGCATACACTGGTAGCTGAACTAAGTATGTTTTAATAAAGCTGATTTTTAAAAAAAAATTATTTATGCATATAAGATCAGAGGTTGAAGCCGAGGTTGGGTTGGGGCGGTGGTGAGAAGATTCACCAGAGACAGAGTAGGGAGAAGAACAGGCAGATCTGCTGAAATGCACTGTGAAGGGGAGCAGCGAACCAGACAGGAGAGTTCTGCTGCACCATGTGGGTCCGCTCCTTGCCTGGGGATCGAACTCATGCTGTTGTGTCTAGCGACAGCTTGATACCACTTAGACTTTGACCCTTCTGCCACCAGGGAGGCCCATAAACCCGACTGATTTTTATGTGTATATCCTCAGGTATATTTGATAACTTTATTTGTAATTTTTTTTTTTTTTTTGCATAGAAGAACAAGAATGTAGGCCAGTGGTGCCGTTGGTGAGAGGATTCATCAGCGACAGAGTTAGGAGCTGAACAGGCAGAGTAAATGAAATACACTGCGAAGAGGAGCAGCGGGCATGAAAGGAGAGGTCTGTTGTGCCATGTGGGTAAGCTCCCTGGCCTGGATCAAACTCAGGCCTTAGCAGTAATAAGGGTGAGACTTAATTTCTAGGCTACCAGGGAGACCCTGATTACATTATCCTTCATCAACATTAACCAATTCCTCCTTGTTCAAGGATTCGGTAAACTATAGGAACAATAAACTGGTTGTCAACACAGTGTCAGGCTCCATTCACACAGGCCTCAAATCTCAAATAGTTTTGATTGTATTTTGCAACAACTACACTTTTGTCTGTTTAGTAACAGTGGACGTTGTAATGTGTATATTGATAATTATGTAGAAGTATTGTCAAGAACTTTCGTCCAACACTCATGGTACCCTCATAGAGGATCTTGCTACATTGCCTCAATCACACCCTGAAGAATCACAAGTACATATAATTTCTTTACATGAGCTCATTTGCACATATTGGCAATGGTAGTCCCTCACAGGCCCTCCCCATGATTGGCCCTGGACCTCCACAGAGTGGGCAATAGTCTTACTGTTTTAGGTTTACCTCAAATAATATAATCTCAGTTCAGAAAAGTTGAAGCACTCCAGTTAGGTAGCCTAATACATTCACATGCCCCATTTCCTGCAACTCTCTCCTTCTGAACTCTGACGCATCCACATAGCTGCACAAGGTGTGAGTGGACATTTATCAGTATCTCTGTGTCATAAATTCCTCTATTTCCATTCCTTGTCTGGTCTTCTGTTGAACTGTGACTCTTAACAATTTCTACTTTAACTAGTCACATGTACAATGAGAATCAATGCCATGGCAATTCTCAATCAGGACCTATAAAATCGTACCCTATTTAACAGTCCATTTTCATGGCCTATACAACGAACACTCTCATGGCTGTGATACATGTTGAACGCTACATGTAAATATATTAGGAGGCATTATTTAGGAATGACAGAATGTGTGGGAAGAGAGTGTGTGTCTCTGGGCCTGATGTCCGTCACAGGCAGGCAGTGCTGGTAGTGGGTCACGCAGCAGTTGCTTAGTTTTTGGTCAGGATGCGGTAACTCTTAAAATCTGTCTGGCAGGATGGAAAATGTCGTTAAAAGCCCATTTAGCGAGAAATGAGGAGACTGCGAGCCCCTCAAACTCAGACCTTTTAAGATACAGGTGGAAGGACCCTGGCTCAGCCTGGAGGCCTCCAGCAGCTCTAAGCCCTCACACTGTAAGATGTTAAAGGACTAAACATAGCAAGACAGCAGCCATTTTAAGGAAAACGACCGTTTTAAAGAGCACAGCTGTCCGTTGCAGGGTAAAACCACAAGAACCACGAGGCCAGGGTGAACGAAACTTAAAGGCTGCCAAAGAAAGGTACACAATCAGATTGAACTTGGTCCCCGTTGTGAAAGGTCCCCTTTTTTCTGCTGTAACAGAGTATAAAAAACAACTTGTCACCCTTAAAGGGGTCCTTCTCTCAACCTGATGAGACTGCTGTGTCAGTACACCAGGCAGAGTCGGGCCCTAGCTTAAGCTACCAATAAAGCCTTTTTGCTTTTGCATCTCTGGCTCCGTGTAGTTTTTGGGAACCCCGGACGGAGTTGAGGCGCCAACTCCTAACAACACGGTGCATGGAGAGAATGGGGTCTGAGGGTACAGAGTCCCATCTGGGAGCCTCCAAAGCTGATCTCTCACTGGCGCCCAGAAAGGCAAAGCTACGACACAAGAAAGGCCGTTACATGGGTTTATTCAAGATGCTGTCCAGGGAGTGTGCCCTAAACACCCTCCTGGGGGTGCAGCTCCCCAAGCGCAGGGAGAGAGCAGAGTAAGAGGAACCCACTTCTCTGGCATCAAAACACTCTCCTCCTTTTCCTCGCCAAACAGACTCGGTTCCGGCGCGCCGGGCGGTCTGCGAGGCTGCGCCCACGTGGCCCCGCCACCCAATATGTCCCTGAGCCCCACTGGGGGAGGACCCGCCCTGACGCTCCCGGACGCGCGGCGCGCGGGATTGTGGGAAATGTAGTCTCCCGAGGACACGCGGTTCCCCCCCGGGGCTCCGCCCAGGGGCGTCCTGCCTCGCCGGCCTCGTCTGCGCAGGCGCGGCCCCGCGTCCTCCCCGTCTTTCCCCGGACCCCGGGGCCTCCGCGGTCGCTGCCCCCCCCCCCGCGGGTTGCGAGCGGCTTTGTCGCCGAGGCTGGGCTTGGGGTGAGGCTGAGGACCCGCGTGCGGGAGCGGGGGGCGGGCGCGGCGGGGAGGCGCCGGGGGAGGCCTGAGGCGGGTGAGGGGGCCCGTGGCCCGGAACAGGCGCCGGGAGGGTCCGCCGGGCCGAGGCTCGGGGGCGAGGGGAGCGGGGTCCCCGCCCTGGACACGGGCGAGCCCCCGACGGCCGCCCCTCCGCGTTTCCGGGAGTTCCGTGCGCTGTGACGCCCTGGGACGGCTGTCGTGGGATGCGGAACCCCCCGCCACGAGCGCCCGCCCCGGGGTGTGGCTTCCGCGGGTCCCCGGGCGTTTTCTCCGCGGGGACCCCGAGCTCACCCTGGGGCACGCGCGGCCGTTTCCCGCCTGGACGCGGACGGGGCTGCGTTCCGGGGTCTCGCGTCCCTCTCGGCGTGGCTGCGGGGGTCCCGGGCCCTGACCGGGCCGGCGGGTAAGAGTTTCCCGTCCTTTGTGCCCGTTTATCGTGGCCGCCGCCCCGCCGCGTGCCTGGCCGGTACCCCGGGTCTCCCCAGGAGGACGGTGTCCCGGAGGCCAGACCCCTGGGAAAGAGCTTTTCCTCCCGTGCTTGTGCGCCCTCGTTCCCTTGGGGGGACACCCCAGGCACATCCAGGGCATGGGCACCGGGGTGTACGAGGACATGAATCCGGGGAAGCCGGGCTCTGGAACATTCCTGGGAGTGTCCTGCCAAAGAAGTGGACAAGGTGCATCATTTCCTTTGAAATTCTGACCAATTTTTTTAAGGGATTTTTTAAAGAGATTTATTTATTCATGCGTAGAAGAACCTGGGTACAGGCCAGATGCACGGGAGGGTGAGAGGATTCACCAGAGACAGAGCTGGGAACAGAACAGGCAGACTGACTGAAATACACTGCTGAGGGGAGCAGCGGGAGGCTGGAGAGGTCTGCGGGCCATGTGGGACCCTCGCTGACGGCCGGGGATCGAACTGGCACTGCAGAGGCCGCGGGCAGCTTCGCAGCCCAGTGCTCAACCGCTGCACCACCAGGGAGGCCCAGGGAAAGCCCTTTTTAAGTGATTAATCATCTTTGAAACTTTTGTTTAGTTTTTCACATGAACTACTAGTCAGTCTTAGGAATCATCAGTTTTATTAACTTGCGGTAAATGGTAAACCCAAATAGTATTAATAATGGACTTATGGGTCCTTTCCTGCTCCTTCTCAGAGTGTAAGCACAGCTGTCACGCGCAGTGACTCTGGTCTCTCCCAGGCAGTGTGTGGAGCGCTCTGGACAGGAGACTCCAGGACCCGGGACCAGCTGCCTCAGTCCTCTCCTGCAGGATTCCATCACCTCTCCCAGCGCCGCCTCCAGAGTCCTCTGGCATCTTTGAGAGCAGTGGACAATGGATAAATCTCTGGTGAGTGATTTGTTTTCTTTAGCTTAGCTGGGCAGTTGGGAACAGTGCTGCTCTACTCTTAGGTCTAGATGAATCTTATAATGAGTTTTCACGTTGGGGTAAAAAGTGTTGCTGATCATATGGAATTTCTATTTTTATTTCTTTAAGAAATCTCGGGCCTCCCCGATGGCGCAGCGGTTGAGCGCTGGGTTGCGAAGCTGCCCGCGGCCTCTGCAGCGCCGGTTCGATCCCCGGCTGCTCCCCGGCCACCGGAGGAGGGTCCCACATGGCACGCAGACCTCTCCTGCCGCCCGCTGCTCCCCTCAGCAGTGTCCTTCGGTCCTTCTGCCTGCTCTGCTCCCCGCTCTGGCTCTGGTGAATTCTCTCACCCTCCCGCGCTTCTGACTGTACCCAGTGCTTGTATAAACAAAACAAAACAAACAAACAAACAAATAAATAAAACATGCCTCTATTAAAAAAAAAAAAAAGAAATCTCTGCACCGTTATCCGCAGGGACTGTACTGCTCTAATGGCTCAAACTCATGCTGCAGTGACTGGGAATAGCCTCCTAGCATTGTGTCTTAACCCCTTGCGCCACAAGGGAGGCCCGGATACATTATAAATTTTGGAATGAACTCCTTGTCAGATGTGTGACATGCAAATATTTTTTATATTCTATAGGGTGCCTTTCTGTTTCTATGCTGGTTTCTTTTGAGTTCCAAAAGCTTTTAGGTTTGGTGTTGTCCTACATGTTGAATTTTGCTTTTCTTTCCCTTGGTGTTGGGGTTGTGTTCCCTAATGCATTTTGTAGCAGCTGTCCTATAGTGTACCCCTTATTTGCTTTCAGTACTTCATGCTTTGGGCTCTTATGTCCAAACGTTTCAGCCATTTGGAATTAGTTTTCTGTATGGAGTTTTGAATGGGTCTTGCTTCTTAGTTTTGCAAGTCACTATACATGTTTCCTGAAACCATTTTTTAGGAAGATATATTTATGCATGGAAGAACTGGGGTGTAGACCAGATGTTCCGGGTTTGTGAGGGTCCACCAGAAAGAAAGTAAGGCACAGAACACATAGATCCACTGCAATGCACTGCTGAGGGAAGCAGTGAGGGAGACAGGTGAGGTTTGCTGTGCCTCATGTGAGTCAGCTCTCTGGCCTGGAATGGCCATGCTGTATATATAGCACTGACTCTTAACTCCTTGGCCGCCAGGGGTCCCCATCCCAGTATTATTTATTAAAGAGGCTGTCTTGTCTGAATTGTATGATTTTAGCTCCTTTGTCCAAGATGAACTCTTCGTATTTATAGTATTTGCTTTCTGGGTTTTTAATTGCCTTCCATTGCTCTGAGTTCTGGTTTTGTTCCAGTAAAATAATGTTTTCATTACCATTGGCATTTAATATATTTTGAAGTCAGGAAGTGTGATCGTTACATTTCACTTTTTCCTCTCAAGATTTTTTTTTGCTATTGGGAACCTTCTGTGGGTTCACATAAATGCAGTGATTGTTCTTTCCTTACAAAAAACCTCCTTGGTATGTGGATAGGTATTAGCTCTGTAAATAGCTCTGGACAATAAACCATTTATGATGTTAATTCTTCCCACCTAGGAGCACAGGACATCTTTCTATTTCTTCTTATCTTTTGTTTCCTTTACTAGAGTTTTATAATTTTCAGTGTTCAGGTCCTTCACCTCCTTTAACTTTTTTTTTTAAGATTTATTTATTTATGTATACAAGAGCTGGGCTGCAGGCCAGAGGTATGGCAGAAGGGGTTGTGTGAGAGGATTCACCAGAGACAGAGTAGGGAGCAGAACAGGCGGACTGACTGAAATACACTGCTGAGGGGAGCAGCGGGCGAGACAGGAGAGGCCTGCTGCGCCATTTGGGTCACCTCCCTGGCCGGGGATCAAACTCATGCTGCAGTGGCTGCAGATAGCTTCATAGTGCTGCCTCTTAACCCCTTGTGCCACTAGAGAGGCCCCTCCTTCTTTAACTTGAATGAAATAATCACAGCTATTTCATTCTTTTTGGTGTGAATATCAATGGAAATGCCAGTCTTTTCACACACATTCTCTTCATAACTTGTTTATACTTTCAGAGAAATAAATTTTATCATGTATTCAATTGTAAAAAGTGATAACATAGTTCAACATATATAATGGACACCAAGGGTTCAAATATGATTGTTTTCTTGTTGTTCTGCTTAGTATTTGATCATTATTTACAATTTCCTTCCAGTCTTTCAGGTCAGTCTACTATGAATTTTCCAATTGTCCTGCCTCCCTGCTGTACAAATGTGTGCCCTGGGTCAGATTTGACATCACTGAAATTATAGCGTCCACGGTGGTTCTGTGGGCATATGTGATCTTCTGGGCTCAGTGGGTGCATTAGACTGTTACTGTGTAAACATGGGTCTCATAAGGGCATTCTTCTCTCTTAGAACCCGGTCTCCCTTTTTTTAAGATTTATTTTACTTATTTATATATAAACCAGAGGTCAGGGCATTGGGTGGGGGATGAGATGATTCACCAGAGACAGAGTGGGGAGCAGAACAGGCAGATCTATTGAAATACACTGCTAAGGGGAGCAGCAGGGAGACAGGAGAGGTCTGCTGCGCCATGTGAGTCAGATCCCTGGTCAGGGATCCAACTCATCCTTCGGTAGTTGTCGTAGCTTCATAGTGCTGAGACTGAACCCTTTGTGCCACCATGAGGATACTCTCAAAACTCTCTTTTCACCTCATACCCTATTCAGAGCTCCGTTGTTGGCCACATGGTAACTGTATATTTTGATTTCAGGAACCCTTGACCTTCAGAGATGTGGCCGTAGAATTCTCGCAGGAGGAGCAGGACTACCTGGACCCGGCACAGTGGGAATTTTACCGAGACGTGATGTTAGAGACTTACAGGAACCTGGCGTCCTTGGGTGAGGAGAATATCCCTCCAGATTTCCTCATCTGCCCTCACCGTTTCCTGTGCTGTGTGTGTGTGCTCCTGGGATGTCCAGATTTGTAGGCTACGTTTACATCCCTGATTTTCAGAAAAACAGTGTGAGTTTGTTGGAAAGAAAGTCTTATGCTGTTTGATCATGACTTAAACTTCTCCTCTCTTAGGTGATCTGCAGCCTGCTCTATTAGTGCTCATTCAAGAAAATCAGTTCCTTATTACAAGCTAAAATCAGTGTGTTATTGCACATTCCTATGACTCAGATGTCTGGAAATGGTTCTCAGGATTGAAAATTTATTTCTTTAAAGATTTATTTATTTATGCATACAAGAGCTGGGGTTCAGGCCAGAGGTGTGAGGGGTGAAATGACTCACCAGAGACAGAACCGGGAACAGAACAGGCAGATCAACCGAAGCACACTGCTGAGGGGAGCAGCGGTCGAGTCAGGAGACGTCCACCTCGCCATGTAGGCCACTCCCTGGCCGGCCAGGGATTGAACTCTCGCTACAGAGGCCACGGACAGCTTCACAGGATGCTCCTTAACCCCTTGCACCTCCAGGGAGGCCCCAGGATATGAAAATTTAAATGATTTCTGGTAAAGGTGGTGTCAGAAAAAGTATTTGCAGTGATCCTTTTCTAGAACCTTCTGTATTCTCCTCTCTACTGAGCACAATCCTGTATTGGTAATTTGAAAATCTGCAGGCCATCTCATATCACCTGTCCTAATAAACAGGTCTTGCTATGTCTAAGCCTGACCTGGTCGTCTTGTTGGAGCAAAAGGTGGAGCCCTGGGATGTGAAGAGAAGTGCAAATCCCGTCCTCCTCCCAGGTAGGTGGAATGAATCTGGCAGAGGCCGCAGCTGGCAGGTGCAGTGGTACAGGAAAGCATCCTAAATATGTCTAGGAAGCTCTGTTTCAGGGGTTGCAGACATGCTCCTATTTTGTCCTGGAGTCTTAGTCTTACTTTCCCTGGGGGCGTCTCCTCTCGGACACCGAGTCCTCTGCCTTTCCTTCTTACTGAATTGAACTTAGGTTTTGTCCATTTTGTTGATCTTTCAAAATCCAGACTTCCTTTCATAGAGAAGCACCTGCTTTTTGGCCATGATGTTACATCTATGTATTTTTTATTTCATTTTAAATGTCCTCCTTTCTGCCAATATGGAGCTTAAATTATTCTTTTTCTAATTCCTGGAGGTGTGAAGTTATGTTGCTCAGGTGAGATCCCTCTTATTGATAGTGTAATTGTTTAATGCTTTAAATTTACTTCTTAGTGTTATTTTCTGAATCCCACATGTTTTGGAAGTTTGCTTCCTTTCAGTGTCTCAGTATTTCTTAGTTATTTAGAATCTAGGAAACACGAGTTTACCTTGCTCTATGTGATTCGAGAATAGATTCTCATCACCTCAAATGTTTGTCACCACCACACCCACCACCAGTGCACTTATGGGCCTCACCGTAGATCTTTGAATCCACTCCCACTTTTGTACCCACAACCAGTGTCCCTACCTCTTCAGTACCCTCACTTCTGCAGTCTTAATTCTCGAGTTCATTTTGGTTTGTATTGTCAGTTTCTTTGCTTTGTTTCTCCATATTCCAAACAGGAGTGAATTCATCCAGTAAGTCTTTCCCCTTCTGATTCATTTCACTGAGCATCATCCTCCCCCAATATTCCATCCTTGTCGTTGCAAATGGCCAGATGTATCCTTTTTCAGTAGTATTCCACCCTGTGTATATACCACACCTTTCTTTAGAATTATTTTTCACCCCTGTTTGTCAACTCCGGTTCCTGAATTTATACCATTATTTTCCTTCCAGTTGCAATTGGGGCTTGAACCCCTCCTTGATCTTATGTTTTCCTCTTCTGCATTCAGTTCTGTCTTTGTGTACTGCACACATTCAGGTCCTCATGTTAGTGCATGTGTTATATTACAGTGCTTCCCAATACATGTAGTTTTCTGTTATGTTCTTGGGGCATTCTTTTCATCCTGTGAGGCTTTAAACTCAGATCATATAATTCTGATATTAGTGTGATCAACGTGACTCCATGGATCAGTTTTCATAGAATCTAGTTCCAACCTTACGTTCTACATGGTGTGCTGATGTCTGTGTTGAGTTTCATATAGGTAAGATTGAATTGGTCTTATTTTTAATTCCTTCAGACATATTTGTCATTTTCATGTGGACTTTTAATTAATTTACACACAAAGTATTTCTGAAAGGAAGGCATTAACTTTATTAAAAAATGATTCCTGTATTCTCAGCCATTTTATACCTCATTTCCTCCCTAGTACAGCTCTGTATTATTCCTCTCTTCCTTTCTTGTGGGTGATTTCCCTCCAGTTGCTCTCATTTTATATGCTAATTGAGGTATACTGGTTTGTAATCTTATTTACAAACATTGTAAAGCATTGTCACCCAACCTGTTACATATGACATCATTCTCTGTTTTCATTTCCTTTTCCATGTATTTTACTGGTATCTTTTTTGTCACATGGGGATTATATACCATGTTGAAAAGTTATTCAGCCTTATCTAAAATGAAAACAATTACATTCAACTGCATACCAAAACCCAACTGTTTAACATTTCTAAGTTCTCAAGCAGAAACAGTATTTTTGCTATAGGATTATATCATACCTTTTTCTCTGTTTGCTATGTATTTACCTTTCCCTGAGGACATCACCTTTTATAAGCATGTGTGTTGCTGTCTAGTGCTCATGTTACCTGTCTAACATCAGGCCGGGGGTCTTTATTTGGTATTAATTTTGTGTATAAAATAGTTAAAATATTTTATTTTGTCTTGAGTGCTGTGAGTGCGGTAAATATTCCTTGCTGTCTCCCAGCCATGTCTTCTCAAGACGACCAGGACTGCATACCACAGTCAGGCACAGAAGATTTATTCCTAAATGTGGGACCGGGAGGAGATGGAATCGACACCTTTGAGAATTTAGAATTATTGAAAGATCAGACATGTCAAGAGGCATGTGAAGGGCACAACAGTTGTTGCGATGAAGATGGCCGAGCAGCGACAATTATCCATAGTAAAATTTCTCCTGCAAAAACTGATCCAGTGTGTAAACCATGTTTGGTAAAACTCCATTTTATGTGTGTTGCATGTATAGATAAATATGTTTCTGTTAGCAAAGATCCATGTGGCATTTTTACCAATACACATTCTCAGAGAGGAATATTGGAACATATGGGAAGTCCCCTAGTCCATAATGGAAATGATTATTCAAAACATTGTCACCATGGGGTAGGTTTAAACTTTGTGTCAAATCATTCTCAACATCAGAGAATTAGAAAGGAAGATGAAAAATCTACACAGGATCCTATTGAGGAGTCCTCAAAACTTCTCCAATATCAGACAATTGGTGAGAAACCTTACAATTGTAAAGATTATGGCAAAGATAACACTTGCTGCTCCAGCCTTAATGAACATCAGAGAAAGAAACGGCGTAAATGTGGAGAGCATGGTAAAGGCTTTTATTGGCATTCACAGTTGACTCGATCTCTAAGAAGTCAGAGAAAAGCCTTACATGTGTCCAGACTGTGGTAAAGCCTTTCTATATTTGTGTCGCCTTTCCCAACATCAGAGAGTTCATAATGGTGAGAAACCTTACAAATGTGAAGAATGTAAGAAAGCCTTTAAGGTGAAGTCAAGTCTTAGTCAGCATCAGAGAATTCATACTGGCCTGAAACCTTACAAATGTGAAGAATGTGGCAAAGCCTTTAACTGGGTGTCAAATCTTTCTAAACATTATAAACTTCATACTGGGGAAAAGCCTTACAAATGTAATGAATGTGGAAAAGCCTTTATTAATAATTCAAAACTTATTCAACATCATAGAATTCATACTGGGCAGAAACCTTACAAATGTAAAGTATGTGGCAAAGTCTTTAACCAGAAGTCACATCTTAATCGACATCACAGAATTCATGCTGTGGAGAAACCTTAGAACTGTTAAGAATGTGGCAGTCTTTAAAAAAACAGTCATATCTTAGTCATCATAGAATTCACACTGGGAAGAAACTACAAATGTGAAGACTGTGGCAAAGCCTTTAACTGGAAGTCAAGTCTTATTCTACATCACAGAATTCACATTAGAGAAATGTTAAAATTCAAAGGTCATTTTTTTACTGTAGTCTCTTTAACCAGAAGTCCAGAAGTTTCACCAGAAGTGGCAGTGATTATCCAGAAGTCAAATCATCCTAAACATCAGAGTGCCTAGTGAGAGAACCCGTAAATGAAAGTGACCAATGGATTGTCCAAATATATATTATGAAACCACCAGATTTTCATACTGGAAACTTTAAAGAAGCAAAAATAGGAGAAAGTAATTTATAATGAAAATTAGATGCATATTGAGACATTGCAGTGCAGTAGTAAGTTAATTAAACTTGGCCAGACATAACCTAAAATGAGAATATGGTCATGGAGCATAAACCAAGATTAAAACACTAAATATTAGCATAATTTAAAAGTTCAGGAGGCCTCCCTGGTGGCGCAAGGGGTTAAGTTGCAGCTTTGTGAAGCTGTTGGCAGCCACTGCAGCACAAGTTTGATCCCTGTCCAGGGAGCTGACCGACATGGAGCAGCAGACCTCTCCTGTCTTGCCTGATGCTCCCCTCAGCAGTGTATTTCAGTAGATCTGCCTGTTCTGTTCCCCACTCTGTCTCTGGTGAATCCTCTCACCCCCCTCACCTCTGGCCTATACCCCAGTTTTTGTATGCATAAAAATACATCTTTAAAAAACATAAATAAAACTTGAAGACAATGGTTTGGGTCATGTATAGTTATTTTCTATCAGCCATACTTGAGCTATGAATAGACATGATGAATGTAATTCACGCCTAAATTACTTCATTCTATGACTTTCTCATGTACGTCACATCATGTGTTTGATTGTTGCTGCCTCAAACATCTAAGGGATCCTTCTCTAATGGATGGATTTGCTCACATCTGACTTGCTCCTGCAAATTTAAGGTGGTGTCATATATCATGTATGAAGAAAATGTGAATGGATATGCTGTTTGGTTGACTCAAAAGATTGATCTAAATCACCCAATTGGCATAGAAATTAGACCGAGAAACATGCTGAAGTTCAAATCATTTCATCCTTTTGTCCTTAGGGAATACATTGACAGTCTATTAAAGTCCTGATGTCTCTTCAGAGTAGTAATAGAGATCATGAATATTATTTGATGTTGTTGCCAAAAGAAATCTTCACAGGCACATGATGAAAGAGCAGGTGACTTTCACAAAAGGGCATGGAATTCTCATCCATTCACATTAGCTAAGTAAAGAGGCTCTGTGTTTGACACTACGGGATTCTGGTATCAGAAGGTCCAGAATGCTTCTTACATGCCTGAATCCTGACTTTTATGAAATAGCATACAGTGCTATCTAAATGTCTTATTTAGACTATATGTGAACTTTATATATATATATATTTTTTAATAATGCTCATTGATTTTTTTTTTAAAGAAGCATGTATTTTTATTTATTTGTTTTTGTTTGTTTATACATGCACTGGGTACAGTCAGAAGCGCAGGAGGGTGAGAGAATTCACCAGAGCCAGAGCGGAGAGCTGAGCAGGCAGAAGGACCGAAGTACACTGCTGAGGGGAGCAGCGGGCAGGAGAGGTCTGCGCGCCATGTGGGACCCTCCTTCGGTGGCCGGGGAGCAGCTGGGGATCGAACTGGGACCGCAGAGGCCGCGGGCAGCTTCGCAACCCAGCGCTCAACCGCTGCGCCACCAGGGAGGCCCATGCTCATTGATTTTTAATGTAGTCATCTGGACATGTACTTAATCATAAGTTGTCCCCCATCAGCATTAACCAATTCCTCCATTTTAAGGCTTTCTGTAACAGATGAGAACAATCAGGTGGTTGTCTACACAATGTTACATCACCAGCAGGCCCTGTTCTCGATAGCTTATATCTGAAATAGTTTCGACTGTTTTCAATAACTACACACTTTTTGTTCTCTTAGTAGCCCGGAATATTGAGTGCTTTCAAAATAATGCCGGAGTATTTTGAAGAATTTTGCAAAACACTTCATGGTATTGGTGCTTTGCCATCCATTTTTTGTACCTAAACTATCTCTGGGGACCCTGAAGTGACACTAGACCCTCACACTGACATCTTTTAGGAATGATGTGGGGTCTCCCGGGTGGCACAAGAGATAAAGCACAGCACTATGAATCTATCCACACCTTCTGTAGCATGAGTTTGATTCCAGGCCACCAGAGAGAAACCCAGTTGGGGTGGCACACCTCTCCTGCCTTGCTTGCTGCTCCCCTCAGCAGTGTTTTCAGTCCATCTGCCTGTTCTGCTCCCTGCTCTGTCTCCCCTCCCACACCTCTGGCCTGTACCCCAGTTCTGGTATGTATAAATAAAAAATGAGGAGATAAACCCTCCACATGATTAGGTCACAAAGGGCGGGAGGCAAAGTCCCTCTGTGCTCACGCTTCTTTTCCACTAGGTTAAATTCAAACGTTTTCTGGAGGAAAGTGGATCAGGGCCTCCCCGGTGGCGCGGCAGTTGAGCACTGGGTTGCGAAGCTGCCCGCAGCCTCTGGGGCGCCGGTTTGATCCCCAGCTGCTCCCTGGCCACCGGAGGAGGGTCCCACATGGCGCGCAGACCTCTCCTGCCGCCCGCTGCTCCCCTCAGTAGTGTACTTCGGTCCTTCTGCCTGCTCTGCTCCCCGCTCTGGCTCTGGTGAATTCTCTCACCCTCCCGTGCTTCTGACTGTACCCAGTGCATGTGTAAACAATACAAACAAACAAAACATGCCTCTGTAAAAATATTTTTTTAAAAAATAAATAGTGCCTCCCCGGTGGCGCAGCGGTTGAGTGCTGGGCTGTGAAGCTGCCCGCAGCCTCTGCAGCACCTGTTCGATCCCCGGCTGCTCCCCGGCCACCAGAGGAGGGTCCCACATGGCGCACAGACCTCTCCTGCCGCCCGCTGCTCCCCTCAGCAGTGTCCTTTGGTCCTTCTGCCTGCTCTGCTCCCCGCTCTGGCTCTGGTGAATTCTCTCACCCTCCCGCGTTTCTGACTGCACCCAGTGCATGTATAAATTATAAATAAATATTTTTAAAATAAATAATAAAAAGAAAGTGGATCAGGCAGCTTCCTGGGTGCAAATCGTTATTTTTTTTAATTATTTTTATTTTTTTTTATAGAAGCATGTTTTATTTATTTGTTTGTTTGTTTGCTTGTTTATAAGCACTGGATACCGTCAGAAGCGGGGAAGGTGAGATAATTCACCAGCGTCAGAGCGGGGAGCACAGCAGGCAGAAGGACCCAAGTACACTGCTGAGGGGAGCAGCGGGTGGCAGGAGAGGTCTGCACACCATGTGGGACCCTCCTCCGGTGGCCGGGGAACAGCCGGGGATTGAACCGGCGCTGCAGCGACTGCGGGCAGCTTCACAACCCAGAGCTTAACCTCTGCGCCACTGGGGAGGCCCTTCAATTTATTTTTTTTCAAAGATTATATATACAAGAACTGGGGTACAGGCCAGATGTGCGGGAGGGTGAGAGGATCCCCAAGAGCCAGAGCGGGGAATAGAACTGGCAGACTCACAAAATACACTGCTGAGGGGAGCAGCGGGCACGACAGGAGGGTCAAGCACCTCAAGCGTGATGCTCAACAGTCTGCGCCACCAGGAGAGGCCCCCAAATCAGACTGCGGGTTCACAATGACTGGCGGTTCCCCTCTTGACTCCCCTCTTAACTCCCTGTTGGCTAATTGCTTTGGCAACTATCAGTACAAACCACATCTGATAGAATGAAAGTCTCCCCGTAATTTGAGCAGAGGCCATGCCAGGGACTGTATTGGTTCAGGTTGTCCTAAATTGCCTTCTGAGTGGAAACAAGTTTTTTTCTAGCTGGCCTACGAGGCTGTGATTGAATAGGGAGGGAAACCAGTGACTCTATGCGTTTCATTTTTCTAAATTGTTGGTAATGTAAGTTGGGATATTCCTGGGATTTTCATTTTAGGTTTCTCCATTTAGCCATGATACTTGGGAGGTTTCTCCCACGAGGCCTCTGAGCTCCATGTCTGAAACAAAAATTCTCATTTGAGGCTGGGGTATGTAGAAAGAAAATAGACTTTTAGAGAAGCATGAAAAATAGTAAGTTTATTCCAGTTTTATCTACTGCAACGCGTGTAGTAGGTAGATGAAGAAATGGGAGGAATAAAGCCCCAGATAGTTGACTTTTTAATACAAAACTCACTGCGAGTGCGCTTGGGATACACGTTAGTGCTCCGTTGGTCCCAGTCTTACCACTTGCAAAGCCTCGACTGGGAGACATAATAGGAAACGGTCATCTTAAGCCCTCGACGGCACTCTGCGGAAGGCTTTGTTTCAGCCCAGATGGTCAATAGCGCCCTTAGGTGTCTGGGCACATCCACTGACTGACCAGGGAAGAACTCCTGGTGATAATCCGGCGCCTTTCAGCTTTGCTTAAGATGTAGCAAGGAACCTGTGGGATGGAGGCAGCACTTTCTGGTTTTCACATCTAGTTCTGCCGTTCCCTGGTTTACTCTCTGCCACATGTGGCTCCTTCTAGTCTTGAAAATGTGGCTGATGCCACTGGTTGCTTTCACAGGGATCCCAAATTCCAAATCCTGAAGAGGGTGTAAGTCTGATGTTCTGGTAGCTACTGGTGTCCAGTGTTTGGAAATGCTCTGGGCTTGTTTGGAAAGTTTGGATTCTCTGAGCTTTCTTCTGGAGAGTCTGCAATCACTGTCAGTCTCTCCACGATGGGAGAGGTGTTGCAGAGTCCAGCCACATTCCTTAGTCTGCCTGGCCTTCATTACCTGTGTCCGGTGTATCTGGACACTTCAGGGGCAGCCTTGGCCCTCTCCAACTCAAGACAGCTCCTCCCAAACACTTTATCTGCAGAGAGCCATTGAGGAACCCCCTGTGCGCCAACATTTCTTGATTTTTTTACTGTGTGCAGTGTTGTAGATCTGTGATTTCATTCATCTGTAAACCACGCTCAGCAGTGGGTATTGCTGGTCCCATTTTATACATGAGAAAATTGAGACTTGAAGGAAGAGCAGCTTGCCGAAAGTCCACAGCTATTAAGGAAAATGGACTCCAAAGCCTTTCCTCTCCAGTAACCCGTTTGCCTCCCTAGAAGGATTTGGGCCTCTGTCCTTCTCCTGGCAGGAAAGCATTCCTTGAGGACTCTGTAGGGGGCTGCCCTCCTGCCCTGTGGAGCAGCTGTGATAAGGGCTCACTGCAACCTGCATGGGGCTCTTTGCACTTCTGTCAACACCCTCCTGTTGAGCAGGAAGCCACACTCACATTCCTCCAGAAGGTTAGTGAGAGAGCTGCAAGCAGAAGTTGATTTTTCTTTCCCTTCCGAAACAATTATCGCTCAACTCCTTTAACAATTGTCTTCCTAAGTTGACTTTGAGTGTAGGTGATGCAGCAAGCCCCAGACCTAGGATTTTCAAATGTCCTTGTCCAGTTATTACCAATGACTGTCAAATGTGTTCTCGGTGTCTGGGTGTATCCCATGGGAAAACGCCTTTTCTCAGGGAGTGGAGCTTTTACAGTTCATTTGTGACTTCGATTTTAGCTGTATGTTGAATTCATACCTTTCTCCGCTCTTAACTATCTTGTCTCATAGCAGAAGCTGTTGAATGTGGTCTGTGCTCATACATTAGGTGTCTGATGTGATTGTCTTTATTCTGGTGGGTTGGGCCGGGAAGGGGTCGCTTCAGCCGTGGCCAGTGATATCCTGGGGAGAAAGTGAATCCATTGGCCCTGGATTCTGTCCAGCATATTCAGTTCCTTCATTTTACATTCTAGGGAGGTGACATGATGGTCAAGGTTACAGTACTTCTTAGTGGTACCACTTGTCACAGATTTCTAAGTCACACTGTGCTCATACCAGGATTTGGGGGCTCTCTGATAGGAAGAGGGAGGCTCAGAGGTGAAGTGACTTGTCTGAGGTCCTGGCTGGTTGGTGTATGAGTTGCAGCTAGAACTCAAACCTGCTAAGGACTGGAATGTAGCTAACTGAATGTTTAGCTACAGAATGTTTTTGTTGTATTGTAGCTGACTGAGTGTTTTTAGAAACTCAATTATGTCTCCACTCTACCAAAAAAACTAGCTGTTTAAACTTTCCCATTGTGATTGTAAGGTGAACAGTTCTCTCTGATTTGTCATATAGTAGGGGGAACAGGGACACCAATTCAGGTGTTTACTTTTTGGATTTCCTGAGGCCAGCTCTCCTTAGGTTGCCCCCACCCCAATCCTAGACCCAGACCTAGGGCTCCACTGCCTGAGGACTCT